ATTTTTTTTTTCCACGCGTAGTATAGAAATTTGTAATAAAATACATAATACGGTTATAATAAAATATTGTGCGATTATTTTCATATAATTAAAATTAATATTTATTTATTATTTAGAGAATATGAGGGAAGCGGCGCTTCCAACACTTCTAATGACGGCACGCCACTGTAGCGTTACATAAAACTCAAGCATTTGGGCCCTCCAAAAAAAATTTTTTTGGGATGTTTTTTTAAGTCTCCAAATTTTTTCAAAAATTTTTTCTCGTGCAAAAAAATTTTATCGCGATTTTAATCTACCTTTAATGACGCACAATTAACCTTTAATATTTTTTAATGGAATTTTTTTTATCAAATTTCATTCATCTTTCTAAAGTTCTAGTGCACGGATTTTACTTCGATAAAGTTATTTAAAGCTAGTTTCTGATGTCAAAAACAACCTCCGATAGTTTTTTAATTAATATATTTTATTATATATACGTTTAATTAAGTCGGAAATTGCAATAAAAAACGTAATTTTTTAAAATTATTTAAAAATATATGGCCAGTTAGTATTCACCCTAATTTAAACCCTTTGCCTCCTGAGATTTTTATGAGAATGTCCCGAGAAATTGAACACCAGCTGTTCTCAAGGTCATCCAGCTGTAAACACAATGATTCATTGGCATCAGATTTCACAGAAAGGTGAAACAATGGAAAATAAAATTTGAAGCTTTTTCTTCAAAATTAACACATTTCTTTTGTTTTTTTTTTTTCAGTTTTAAGTATTTTTTATGTTTAATTACATTAATATCAGAAATTGCTGGAAACTAAAGGGATTAGTCTTGTGTCAGTGGAAAGCAATATCCTGCCCATTTTTCAAAACAACATATTATACTCCAGATATGTAGATGATATTTTCATTCTGTGGAGAAATGATAACAACGCCCAATATTTTCGAAACACAGTCAACAATAACCCATATTTGACATTGGATTTAGAGCAAGAGAGTGGTAGTAATATTAACTTCTTCAATCTATTTATCATGTGCAAAGAAGGAGAAATCTGGACGGACATTTATTGCAACCCAATTTATCAACCCATTATTATTCCACGGAATTCTATCAATCCTAGGCACATTAAATATGTAGCGTTTCGGGCATGGATTAAACAGGCATATACCCATTGCACGAGTGTATATGATACTTATAAAGAGTTAGATTACATTAGGAAGAAAGCAATGCAGCAGGGTTACCGGAGAAGAGAAGTGGATGAGCTTATTACGAAATTTCAGAATCAGAATTGGCATCCTCCCAAAATGACCCAGGAAAGAATAGTAGTACTTAATTATTTTCCTTTTTTAAACAAAATTATTAGGAATGTTGCTAACAGTAATAATCTACGAATAGTATATCGCGTAATCCAACGACCTACAGAATGTTAAGAAACAATAAGAGAAAGGAAAAGTGAAATAATTTACCAGGAGTATATTCTATACCTATAAAAGATCAGCGTTTCAACTCTGATCTTGTTTACATTGGTGCAACTATGCGGCAGTTAAAGCAAAGACTCAATGAACTCAAATACTCTGTGAGTATGAACATGGATAGCACAGTGCTCACAGCATTTGCCAAATAGCAGGAGGTCAAGGTATATTGGGATCAAGCCTCAATTATTAGAGCCACGAATTCCAAACAAGCAGTGAAGCATCTTGACACAAGGCTCACATAAGCAAGGGATGCATTAATCATAGAGATGCAGAAGGGTTATCTTATGCCTGGAAATCTTTTTACAATAACGCAGATTAATACGATGTAATCAACGTATATTTCCTCGTTGGCATGTTTATTTTTATGTTATTTGTAAGTTCTTTATAGATACGCAAGTCAGATGAACTGTGCGTGCGCATTTTGGATTCTGTTTAATTTGTATTTCATACATTCCATTGTAATGTTCTTTTTAAATATTGGTTCAACTGAAGATGGCTATTAAAAAAACAGTTTAAAACGTTTTTGTCATTATTAAATATTTTTATTGCTGGATGGTTAAAGATGTTATTTATATTATATATGGACTCTACATTTATATTCTATGTAGACTGTAGGTCACTAGCATCTAGAATTAAAGAACACATCTATGATATAAAGAAAAACTACACGAGCATTTTGGTCCAATTTGCATCAGATCCTGAAACAATATCATGCTGGACTAAAGCTAAACTTTTATGAATGATGTTTGAAAGAATGAAACTTAAAACAACTGAAACCATCAAGATCTACAAACAGGACTGTATAGAAGGCTACATTAATAACAAAGACAGGTTAAATCTAGCATAAGTTTGGCAAGTTATGCTGAATTTGTGCTCTTGCACAAATTCAGTGTAAAAAGGTGTAAACTAATTTTTTATATCTATATCCACTTGTTATAATTTTAACATCCATATTTAAAATCCACATCTGAGAAATTTTTAAAAAAGTAAATTTTAAAACACCTTGGAAATTTATTTGAATCATTATTAACTGAATGACTGAAATTTTTTTTAAAATGCCTAGAACAGGATATTTGAATAACTTATGAACATATAGAAGCTCAATAAAACTATAATTCCTGTTATTTCACCTGAAGAGGGCCTCTAAACAAAGACAAAAACATTTGTGATTGACTAGTCAATGTGCTAGAAGTTTTGTGGTAAGCATAAATTAGTTGATATTATAAAGTTCCAGCTTCTGGGAGTTTCAATGATAAATTGTAGATTGTAACTGGAATAATTTACTCTTTGTTACTCAATACTAACTTATCTACAGCAAATTGTAAATTCATTGTCTATGAACTAATTAGGTCAGATGGCCAAGCAGATAAGGTGGCAGCCTATAGTTCTGGGGGACCCAGAATCAAATCAGGATGGGTGAAAAACCTCAGAAATTTTTCAGAGTGGCTCTGAAGTCTATCCCTCACCACTCAGCTGTATCATTGCAGGTCTGGCTGGTTTGATAACTTAAATAATCATCATGGTTAAAATTCATAATGACTTATCATATTTATTTATTTAAATCATCAAATATGAATTTTGTTAAGCATATTATTATTATTATTTCATACTATTTAATTTAATAATTTAAACTACTGTAAATAAACTTCTAAAACCTTAAGATAACCATTGAAGATTTTCATTTGAAACTTTATATTTTTAATATACTCATAAGTTAAAAGTATAGAATTTTTTGAAGACTATCAAATATTAAGTAAATTTTTAAAATTTTACTTTGGTTGTCATGTTAGGTTTATATATATAAAAACATCTAACATGACAACCAAATTACCAGAATAAATAAATAAATAAATAAATAAATATTTCTACTTACCCTATTCCTGCAAAGCACTTGAGTTCTATTTTTATGGACAATGCATATATATCCTGTTGGTTGAACCCATGCTTCACCATCCACTTGTACTGGTACTCCTTCATCACCCAAAATTGTAATTTTAACTGAACGACACTAATTTGATTAAAGCTTTACATCAATCTTTATGTTTAATATATTAAATATATAAATTATTTTTTACAATAAAATATTCTGATATAAAAAGAATTATATTGACTTTAACAAATACATCTAGAACAAATTCATTATACTAAATTTTATTAAATGATTTTATACTTATTTTTGAAAGTTTAAATATAAATATTATATAATATATGTAATGATACTTTAATAAGTCATACCTGAGCAATACGATGATGTTGCAAATTAATTACACGAGAAGCTGCCATTTGAACAGTTCCGAATACAGCAACCACTTCTAATATTTTATCATCAAATGATGGAGCATAAAATATCTATGCACAAATTTAAACATATATAATTACATTAACTTTTGTTATAATAAAAATTCTATTTAAATATTAAAGATTTTATTATGAAGAAACTATCTAAAATGAAAATCAAGTTATAAAATTTCATTTTTAATTTCAGTATGTATTATATTTCAGTTCCTGAAGAAATGAAAATAAATTTTCTTAAAAATATTTAAATATATTTTCTATCATAACAAATCAAATCATAAATTTGTTTACAATTATTTTAATTAGGAAATGTAATTACAGTAGAGCCTCGAAAACTCGGCACTCGATAACCCGGCACTCCGGATAACTCCAGGGCAAAAAAATCCTTAGTTAATTAATTTTCATTATAGACAGCTTTATGCCTCATAAAGTATTTTTCTGGGGTCTGTCTTATCAGGTAAATTACTGTACACTGTGTATTCATTAATTTTCATTTTCATGTAGTAATGGCTCTGCCTTCATAAAGTACGTACTTTTCCTTTGTTTAGAATATTTGGACTGTTTATTCTTTGTTGTATTCTCAAGCAAACAATACATACAAGTATAGCACAGTATTTTCTGAGGACTCCACATTCATACTTATATTTTTAATGCCATTCCCGATAACCCAGCATTTTCACAAACTCGGCCACCCTTCGGTCCACATTAGGCCAAGTTTTCGAGGCTCTACTGTAATAAGTTTCTTTTAAATTAAATTAAAGAAAGATTACTGAATAATAAATAAAATAATTTTTCAATATAGTTTACTTTCATAAAGATAAAAAACAATAAATGAATAGTCATAAAACTATTATAACTGAATTTTAACTAGGAAAAACAAATTTCTGTAAACATAGTTTCCATTCTATTTTTAAATATTTCAACTAATTATTTCTCAATTAAAATTTATTTATTTATTTATCTCATTGTTATTATTCATAAATCATTATAATGCATTTTGATTGAATTATATTAATTTTTTATTTTTTGATAAATCATTTACATTTCCTTCAAAATAAAATCAATAAATAATTATTATAAATTAATATTTATATTGTAAAGTTTCATAATAATTATATTACAAATTTTAAACTTACATCATCTTCTTTAGTTCCACCCCAAAAATTTGATCCTCCTCCATAACTAATTAAAATTATTTATATTTTATTTATTTTTCATATTCTTTTGTAATTTAATTATATAATATATATTTTAATATTTCTTATAAAAACTTGTTAGTAATAAACTACAGTAGAGCGTCGTTTATCCGAAAGTCGGTTATCCGAAAGAATTCCAGTCGGCAAATTTAAATATTTGCTAGTGCTGTGGTGCTGCAATCTTTGGCTGTATCTTGAGCTACNCTTCTGAAGTATAAATTTTTTTTGTTTTTATATTTTTCAATATATTTATTTTGTTTGTACAAAATAAAGAAATGATTTTTAATGATACAATAGCCACGATTATTATTTTAAAAAGTTTACATTAGGCTTAACATCGACGAAAATTCAACATGAAGCGACACACAACAAAGAAAAATTTCAACATGGGATATTTTTTCGTACATAATCGGTTATCCGAAAAATAAGTTATCTGAACAATCCCAGTCCCCAATTGATTCAGATAAATGACGCTCTACCATATATCTAAATTGAGTATTTATTATATCACAATTACGATGTTTTTATCTTAATTTCCATATTAGTCTTTTGATAATGTTCCAATTTAAAGAATCAGGATATTATTCTGATCATCATCAATTATCTACATATGATCTCATTTTACATAATTCTGCAATGATCTCCCACTCTAAAAACTGGTTATACACTCATGCAGACACTAATATTAATTTAAAACATCAACAAATTTACTAATACAGTGGATGATCAGTTAACGAACAAATTGGATAATGAACACTTTCGTGAACAATTTTTATGTTTGAACAACGAACACCTCACAGAACAAATACAAAAAGAAGCGATGTAAAATAATGAATACCGATTGGTCTTCCCTTGTCTTCAGGCAACAATTCAAAACTTTTCAGAGTGCAGGAGACGTCGACATCAATGCTCAATCCAGTATATACTGATCGGATAGTATTCTTCTGAACTCACCCTTGTAATTCCAGCCTTTTATTTTTCTGACAGAAAGAATTTTTTTATAGTATTTGCGAGACTGTTGGGCAAGCACTTGTTAAGTTTTGCGTCGGTTTTTATTTTCAAAAGGTGAGAGTATAATAGCAAAGGTAGCGAGTAGGCAGAAGATGTCAGATGTTGCTGGGCAGTAGGGTGGTCCATAAAAAAATTTTTTTTGTTTTTCAGTTTGGCCACCCCATAAATTTGTAACATGTATCCTTAGTAATAACATTGTATAATTTCAGTTGGCTAGCTTTAGTGGAAGAAGGCACTCAATTGAGTGCTGTTTTTGAAATTTTTGTGAAAAATGCTTGATCTTGATTTTTTGTTACAGGTCAGTTTTGTATGTTAAATTAATCAAATCTACTTTTAAATAGAACTGTTAAAGAGTTTTACAGACGAATGTAAAAACCTTTGGTACTTATTTACTAGACTGTGAGTGAATCAATGCATTAAAATCAGTTCATCAACTTGAAAAAAAGACAACATTTTTCTACTTGGATGTCGGGATCTTGAGCCATTGGTAAGGATTAACCAACTTCCAACTCTTCGGCAAGTTCTACTTCGTTATCACCACACATTAAATGAATCAAAAAAATGTGAAAGATTCTGCACATATGCTCATTCAATAAGTCAGAGAGGTGTGGAGCAAATCTGGTATTCTGACCAGACAACCAAATCACTGCCTTGAAAAACTTATAAAAATTCATAAGAAATGGCTGCTTTTAAAGAAAAATAAAACAAGAGATTCAGAAGCACAGAAAAATAGAGAACATTTGTTTACAGAAGAGCTAGACAAACTTTTTGATATTGCCCATTTACACGCCATGAACTCAATCAAAATTGCGGAAGACAGAGTTTCTCATTGATCAAAGAGGTGAGCGTAAGACATCGATTGACAAGAAGCTGGAAAAGACCAAAGAACGTTCTCTAAAATGAAAACAAAAAGCTGAAGAATTAAGAGAAAAGGCCGCTAAAAGTAATGCTTCAACTTCAGTAGTGTCAAGTCAAGAACTAGAACTTGATTTCAGCTTCAGTAGCACTTCTAATGCCGATAGCACTTTAAAAGATAAGCAAGAAGATGATTTTGTGGTTGCTTTACCATCAAGGACTCTTTCTTGCAATTACCTCCTGAGACTTGGGGTGACAATGTTGATTACCTTCAAGGCAAAAGTTGCATAAGAAATTTGCATGTGGTTAATGACACTTCAGAGAGGGGTGTAAAACTATTTGAAGATTACAATATGATACTCACTAAGAATGAGAAAGAAAAACAATTTTTACTTCACATCGTTGAACATAACAGAAAGATCGTTTCTACTGAAACATCCAAAAAAGTGCTAATGAACTTAGTTTTAGGTTGAGAAAAAAAGAACTGTAATTAATATTATTTTAAGTATTGCTTTGTTTATAACATTTTGTGTGTTTTTAAATACTATATTTGAATTAAAAAAACTTACTTTTGATACATAGTTTACATTTTTTACTTAATATCCTGACTAGTTCTTTTTAAGGATTTTTTCATAAAACTCAGATATTTCAAAGTCAATGAGCACCCCCTTGTATATAAGATAAGTAGGTGAAATTTTGAACACATAATAGGAATGGTAGGTGTAACAAAAGAAGGGGGTGGCGTGACTTCCACTTGAAAATTTTTTTTTCGCTATTTAAGCTTGGACCACCCTACTGGGCAGTATGGCTTGAACAGGTCTACAGTAGGCCACAGTTCAATCTTATCTAAGAAAGATACTGTATAATCAAGAAGACTCAAGCAGCTAAAGGAATAACAAAAATTACATCTGAGAAATAAAGAACATTGAAGAGCTCATAATGGAACCTGAAACAGATCTGATGAAAGAAGAATGCCAAGAACTCTCATATGTCATCAAATTTCTTGAAGAACATCAAGAAATTTGATGACATATGTTTTCTTTTGAAAAAGAGGATTAATGCCGATATCTGCTATTAAAGATCTTTTGAAGTGGGAGGATGTCAGAACAATGGTCTTAGAATGGCATCCAAACCAAGTTGAGGTTAATAGGGACTTAGGGATCTCTACAATTCCAATGCTATTAATTACTTCTGAAAGATCCTGAAAAAGAGAGGAAAACAATCGACATTACACAGATTCTTTAACCCCACCACAAATGGAAAAAAATGTGACTAATAAAAATGCAAGACTGTCTATATATGTATTTTTATTATTACATGTAAATAAACATAGTAAGAAAGTATATATTTTTTTATTTTTGGGGGTCTCCAGAACAAATGAATCAAATTCCCATAAAAACCTATGGTAAATCGATAATCAGTTAATGAACAATTCAGATAGCAAACAATGCGGAAAGTCTTAGAACGGATTATGTTCATTAACCGATCATCCACTGTACTAACATTTTCATCCATTTAAAATGGACAAAAACATAACAGTAATATAGCCTGATCCAATTTGGCAATTGTTTGGCTTTAATATATCTGTTACTGCTAAAGCTCAAAAGCCGTTAATGTGTACATTACCTAGTTAATCTCCAGATTAACTAGGGTGATTCGTTAAAGCTGCGAAAATTATTCCATTTCTCAAATTATCTAGGTAATGTGCAGAGTATCTAGGTAATCTGCACATTACCTACTAGGCACTCAGTAAAGTGAAAAAAGATCTTTGCTGGAACAACAGCAACGTTTCTGTACACTTAAATTAACATAATGTTATTTATTTAATTATCGATATCTAAAGAATCAAGTTAATACAATCAAACAATCAACAAATTTAGCTGATAGAATCAATCATCAATCAATTAAAAAAACTGTAATACAAAAATCAAACGGTTTAAAATATTATTACAATTAGGGAAATGAATTTGCAAAACACGTGATAAAAGTGTGCTTACTTATTAGTGCAATCTAAAGATTGGTGACACTTTTAATTACATAGCAATTGGTTTTTGCGACAAGCACACTTATTTGTGGTACATTTAGATTTGCAGTCACATTTTCTGAAACCCTGCCCAATACCAAGGAATTGTTTTATTGCTGTTTGACGTAAAGATATTTCTATAGGAGGGACATCTTCTTTCGTTTAAAATCTCTCTTTGCAAACACTGAATTCAGATTTTGCATACAATTGTTTTAAGATACCCGTTTTAGTACCAAGTTTATAAAAGCCATCCTCTGTTTTACTAAGAACCACAGCTAAAATTGAGCATGCATCAGTTTTTCTCTGTCTTCTTCGGGTATTTTAATTCTCACAGTGACACCTTCATCGACATTTGGGTGCTTTGCATTAGAAACTGCTAACATTTTCTTTGCTTGCTTTTTTAAACATCTCTTGGCTTCATCACGCTGTATTTTCTGATCCATATTCTTTTTACAGACGTTGCACAATATATTCTTACCATATCCTTCCTCTTTAGGATCTACTTCACCACAAACTATGTGAACAAACATATCATACGATTTACACTTGTGAGCACTTGATGCTGCTTTTGAGCAAACAATACAGAGTGTCTTGTATAGTGTTCTTTACAGGCTCTGTACAAAACTGTGATGGCGATTCTGCTGAAGTTGAGAGTAACTCAGTGATGACTTCTTCAACTTGCAGAGATGATTTCTTGGAGGTGCAGGGTAACTGAATATTTTTCATAACTGAATATTTCTCAAACAACAGTGTAGAAGGCAGTCTAAGATTACTATCAATAAATTGTTGTATTTCTATAGGTGATTCTGTAGAAGTAGGGGATAACGGAATGTCATCTTAAGTAAGATTTGACTGTGATCCCATAATAACAGTCTCTTGTGAATCTTCTAATGTTTCAAGGTCTTCTTCAGTATTTATCGAATGTAATACACTTTGTAGTATAATAGAAGACAATCTCACTTTTGCGGGACAATCAAACATGGCTTCGTATGGACATTTTTTAAATTGCAGAATGATAGGCATGATTCTTCATGAATTGTACAAATCGTATGCCCTCACTCCACTTGTTAGTTTGATTATCAGTCATCCAAGTAGTT